CCAGCTTCATTTATCAAAGTTATCCAGATGCCCTTGTGGAACAAGCATATTTCTCCTCCTTTCAAAGCTGACAGTAGCAACAATAGTTTTTGCATCCTGGTGAGACACAGCATGTATAGTGTTGCTTGTGTGAGGATAGTTGTGGATTACTACTACACCAATGGCTCCATTTGCTACAAGCATTGCAATCGTGTCTTTAGAACTACAGTTTCTTCTTGCAATAAGGCTAAGGAGATCTAGAGATCACTGCCTGTCTGCAGGTTGTTGAGGGACTCCACTCACCTCAGTATTGGATGTAGGATGGCACTTGCACTCTGGCACTTTGGTTGATCAGAGAACAGTCTCCAAACAACAACTATATGTTCAACCCCAGGCAGTCCAGCTTCCCTCCCAAAATATTACACTCACACAGGTAAGGATCCTCTTCATGTCTGTGGATCCATGCAGGAACATATTCAATACCTGCAGCAAGTGGCAAATCCTCTTTCCCAAGGATGAGGCTCAAATAGCTTCATCCTAGGCCACTCTAACAAGCAATGACAGAAATGACCTCCTTTCCCTGTTGTCTGCAGCAGGGAGAAAATAGATGGTAACTAGACACAATGACTGCAGAAACACATCTGCATATTTGAAAATGTTGGGATATTTGGTTTATTAAACACAAGAAACAGCTTAGAGTTAAAATGGCTCTTAGTAACTGTTCAGTGATGGGATTGTGACATTTTCTAACATGGTGCTGGGGAGAAAGCACCATCCAATCTGCCCATTGCTTTCCTATCAGCTGGTTATTATAAATCTGGTCCAGAAAAATCACAGGAGGTATGAATTCACAACTATATGGTATGCTGATCATTCCTATTTAACTGGGAAAAGAAAGGTGCGGGGGTCACCCGAGACTCATAAATGCCTCTTAACAGGCCTGTGCTTTTCTACCAGCACTTCTGCCCTGCTAACAAAGCTACATTACCTCTACAGGGGTCTCTCAGGACCTTCAGATGCAGACGAAAGAATACAGCCTACAGTGAACCTAGGCCAAACAGTGGTCTTAGGTCCAACAGTTCAAAACACATATGGGAGCCTGGTTGTTAGTTTGCCAAGACGAAGTGGTTTCAAACCAGACACTTTCAAATGGTCCATTGCAGTTATGCCTGCTCTCTCTGAGGAGAGACCTAAACAACAAGCTAGACAGGCAACATCTCTAATGCACTAAGAATTTAAGAAACAAATGAAAGGTGTTTCATACTGAATTATGATAGGCAACCTCACCAAAGGGCCGGGGCGGGGGGGGAAGAAAACACTTTGTTTATTTGCAAGTTAGATTTTATAATACAACAAAAAATTCTTCATATCTGAGGAAGAAAAACATGTTTATTCTAATTCAGAGGTAACCAGCCTGTCTTCTGCTTAAGAAAAGAAGGGATGGCATTTCCAGGGAAAAGATTCAACTAATCTAAAACCTTCAGAAGACTTAAAAGGGGAGACTGGAGGAACATCTTTGCCTTCATAACCAAAGGAGGGAAGCATGCACAGATACTGAAACCCCAGTGATCATCTTGTTGGAGACAGAAACCCCTAAGTGAGCTGGATGAGGGATGCAACTTTCGGGTGTGCAAACCAAACACAGCGCTCTTTGCTTTTGCTTTCTTTTTACTTAACAGGGATTGAACTAGGTGTCATTTAGGTAACTGGAAAACAAGAAGGCAGTCTTCAGCCAGACATACGGCAAATTTATAAAATGGGACCCTGGCATATGAGTGCCAGTAATGGGTCCCATATTTCTAGTAGTCTTTCCTCTCTAGTTTAAAGGTACTGCCACCAGCAGACATCCAGCAAGCAGTAAGATACCGTGGTTCACCTGCTGGATTCCCAACAGTCGCAAGGGGGAGAGTGTCATACCAAACCAAAGCAGTTAGCAGTAATGGTTTCCTACCTTATTTCCACAATTTATTAACGATTTACTATCAGAGATAATACAGACATAATGCAAAACAGCAAGGAGGTAAAAAGCAGAGGTTTCCCTTAATCAAGTCAGGCATTTCTTTCTCTACTGCAGGCTGCAGCACGCTGGCTCCCCTTGATTAAATCCATCACCATCTACTTGACAAGGAAATGACTTGCAAAGCCATAAGCTGATGAGTTATTTCAAAGAACATCTAATTCATACTCCTCCTCTTTCTGTAGTATCACCTTCAGTATCACTGGAGAAAGGCTCACTGTCACTGCATCACTGGTCCCATCATTCTCCTACCAGGTAAATTGCTGCAGGACAGTGACCAGCCCTGACCCTGAGAGGGAGGGGAGAAATGGCAAAACAGCTAGAAATAAAAAAGCAGAAAGGAAGAAGAGACTGAAGACTGAAAGAGACACATGTCAAGAAGGAAAATAGAGCCATTCAGAAATGACAGAAAAAGCACTTAGCATGCTTATTTGCTTCACATTCATAAATGATAATTCTTATTTGCTTTTTTGCTTCACATTCATAAATGATAATTCGTTTATGCATAGATGCAGTTCATACACAGATCAGAAATAGCCCTTTTTTGCAGAACTTTGGGGAGTTTTATTGCTGTACAAAATAAAGTTTGTACTTTATTACCGTCTCTTGGGATATCTTTCTAGATACAGGATTCAATTTCTTGCATTACCTTTGAAAAATGTAAAGTAAATGGGAAATACAATAAAAATAAGAAAATATTCCTCTACCTCACTGAATATTCCTCTAGAGTGACTTGTGGTTCTAATTTTTATTCCACTTGACTGAAAGTGGAAATTATAAGTGACAGAGCTTTTATCATTGGTATTACACAGGGCTCATTTTGTGAGAGATGAAAATAATGGGCTAT